TGTGTGTGTGTGTGTGTGTGTGTGTGTGTGTGTGTGTGTGTGTGTGTGTGTGTGTAGATATCCGGGACCGCAGGAAGAAGCCGGTGATGCTGTTCATTCATGGAGGCTCCTACATGGAGGGCACCGGAAACATGTTTGACGCCAGCGTCCTGGCCGCCTACGGCAACGTGATCGTGGTGACCATGAACTACCGGCTGGGGGTGCTCGGTAAGTGATCGGCACACGCTCCCCACAGACATTCCTGTTACTCTGAGGATAATACATTTAACCTCCTCACTCCTATCACAAAACAATCATAATCGCAAAGCCGATGTCTCTCAGCAGATATCTTCTTGATGAAGCCGGTGATGTACGACTTCAATACAATTGATCAATATAATGACAACGAGTGCAGGCGTTGATCATGAGCGCTCACTTTTCTTATGGATTTGCTTTGTTGATTATTCTGGTCTGAACACTGATTATGTGTTTACACTTTGTTTGAATGCAAGGGTTTCATGAAAGGCCCGCGAGCCATTTCAAACCCCCTCCACCAAAAAGAAGCACATCGTGTGTCTCAAACAAAACAACACTAAATGTTGAATTTGGTTTAAAAGGAGCATTTGATTTGCACGGCAAGGACTGTCGCAGTGTTTTTTAGAAGATCTGATCAGATTTCTGTGCTTGTGACTGAACTCCTCATCATCTTTTCATCCGGATTGTAATTGAAAACCATTTTTTTTTGCCGAAAAATGTTCAGAGATATAAGGAGATAGATTACAGATACATTTGAGTGCCAGCAAAAACTCCACATTGTTTTTGGTATTGTTCTAATAAGCATTTCTTCAAGTACCAAAGTGAGAAATATCCTCATCTTCTCATCACAAGCAGTGAGAGTTCTGTGTCTCTTTCTCTTTCAGCAGTGAGTTCAACAGGCAAACACTCACGACCTTAGGCTAGAAAGAGATTTATGGACTTGCACCACCTTTGACCTTCTCGCCATGTGTCCACTCACTCTATTATTTATTCGGCGAGCGAGTCCTGCATACTGTCTCCAGTTAGTAACTCTCTCGGAAAGGCCTTTTATGAGAGGGAGAAACGCGGAGACGGGAACAAGCATGCAAATCAGATACAGATCTGGCATTTTTACTGACACAGAAATGCACCTCACAATTCTTCATTTTAACTGCGCGCCGTCGCCCCGGTGCCTGCAACCTCGTCTATTTTGCAGCTGTATAATTCATTCCACAAAGGCTGAGGATTGTAAAAAGGAGAATGCCTTGACGGTGTGTTTTGGTCGGAGAAGGCATGGTTATGATGCACTTTTGAGCCGTTGCTACCAGACACGGCACACATTGAAGGTTGAGGGATTTGGAATGGAGTTAATGTGGCTTCGACAGAGCGAGTGCAGTAGGCATACTGTAACCTGTCTGCTCGGGTTGCATGAGGTTCTGCCATAGCCAGGCTTCTGAATAAAAAGAGAGTATCATCTGTTGCCTCGGCTCTCTGGTACGAGCTCGTCATCCTTTTCCTAAAAAATACACTTGACTTCTCCTCTTTGTTACTCTGTCTCGCTCTGTTGAGACCAAGTCATTTAGCTTGGAGAGGAGGAACATGCCTCTAAGGAGGCAGGTGCTAACTAAAGCGAACCAAGTGCATTAGATATTTCATTAGCCAAAGAGAGAGTGGGCTGCTGGAAGCTGTTTAAAATCGGTTGCTCCGCATTTGTTTTGGTTCTTTTTTGAAGGACGCTTCTGTGTGCTTCTTCTGAGACTTTACACAGCATTTACAATAATGACAGACTTCTTTTATTTGCCTGCAATTACCTAGAGTGTTTCTATTCTGTAATTCTATCTAAAATGTGACTATTGTCAAAGATGGTTGAAGCTGTCAGGAAACCAGTGTGTGACATTCTCATCGCTCGACACCGGAGTCCTCCACAAGCTGCTAGCGTGACGGCTATGAGTGCTAACAACAAGACATGTTCTTTGAATTCCTTCATATTGATCAATTTGGGGGAGTGGCTTTGGAGGGAGGCCTGAAGGGACGAGCAGTCAGTGTTGCAGACGACATTTAATGACTTGTAGAACTAGTGCTAGTTATTCTCAGTTGCTACACTGGGCTGGGTTTTCCAGTTGGATGATTTTTTATTTTTTTTATCTAGCGTTTACTCTTGCTGGTTTCTACCCGAGCTTGAAACCATGTCCCAGGTTATCCAGTTTTATTAGGAGTAGAAAACACACACACACACACACACACACAGTTTCATTATGGAATCAGGGAATTATTATCGCCATTTTTCTACCTCCAAGTGGTTTCAATATTCCTTCTACCCTGTTTGCTTGTTTACAACGTGTCAGACGACCTGTGATGGGGAGACATGGAGACATGGAGTTCCCATATGTAGGAGTGACTTAGATGATTGCAGTGTTATCATGACAAAAAAAGGCCCAACGGTTGATGATCTTATCAGGTTGACAGTTCTTAATTGACGCAAAATGGGCTTCATAATAAGACAAAGTTTTATCAAACAAATGATTAATTCTTTAAACTTTTGTCGTTTAGAGTTTTAGATGTAAAAATAATTTGGATCAGAAGGAATTCAAGTGAGTGGATTAATAACAGAAGTTTAGTTTTTAAGGATAGTAAAGTGAGTCGGAAATATCAGCAGCTACTCACGAGGTTTTCACTGAATTTGATTAAAGTAAAAAAGAAGATAACGGTGATAAGTACTACATTGTCTCAGATTGTTACTATGTCACTGGATGGGCGTTAGGTAGGACTGGATCTTATTCATCTCCCGTCCCGGTATCTTCACTCGTCTCTCTCTCTTCGCTAGTCTGGTGGCATCTCTTGCATCAAGGAGAAAGCAAATTTAGAGGGAGACTTCTGTCATTTGTATGCAAAGAGAACACCGCAGCTCCCTCCCAAATATGAGAGCCATCCAGTGCAATTTGGCCATGATTAGGAGAAATGTGAGTAATCTTTCGCACCATGCATCCTACATGATGGATGGCATTTTACTTTGACAGAGAGGGAGAGGGAGAGAGATACAGAGAAGCCAGTATGGGGGGGGGTTAGAAATGCACATTTGTATGTGTTTTTTTAGAGGTGGTGTGCGTCAAGCACGTGGAGCTGCGTGCATTCATGCATATCAATGTCTGCTCTGTGGCTACGCTGCGAGGGCTTCCACTGTGTTTGTGTTCTTGCTTCAGCAATCAGACATGCTGATTTGGAAGGGCAACGCGGGAATTATTGATACAGCAGCTCGATGTGGTCATGTGAAATGCAAACTAAACACTGCGTGCCTGCCAGACAGAAACGGTTATCTTCAATCTCTCCAGCACATATTGGGAGTTTATAGATGTTTGCTTTAGCTTCAGTCAGCAGTCCAAAAGTTTACTAAGCCTACCACAAGTTACTGTGAAGGTTGGACATTGTTTGCATTGCTGTTCATTTTCAATTTAGTAGGGTGTTTTAATAATCCTGATGATTACAGCTGGAGGTCATTTGAATGCACTGGTGCTTATTAAAACTTATAGTTGGTATTTTAAATGTGGTATTATTGCCACAGATGTTTTGGTGGCATCTCGGCATGCTGAAATGCCAACTCCCGTCAAATGCACTGCGCTCGACTTCTCCAAACCACAGAGCATGTGGGTTGTGGCTACTCCGGTAGTGGGCCAATCACACCGTCGCATTAAATCGAAAGCTTGCTGTGATTGGCTGCGTGCAAAACCATACAATCGATCTGGGCACAAAGGGTATTGAATGCAGATATCGTTTGACTGGAGAAGTTTGGAAACTACATGGAACTGGGTTATTTTGGTTGATGTCTTTTTAAGAGCTGGAGTAAACCTATAGCCATGGGAGTGGGAGGAGTATCTTCATAAGGCATGCTGGTTGAAGCAGGGTTTGAACACAAGACCTTTAGTTTGGTGGAAGTTGGTCTAACCAGTGAACCACAAGGAACTTGCTTTGCACAGTAGGGGTTAAGACCACTGCTGGAGGACTGGGTGAGATTAGTTGGAATTTCAGTTGGAGCACCTTCTCACTTTTGTTAGTTGAGGTGGCAAAATGAAATGAACGTGATGAAAGCTCAGTAACAGCAGAGTAACTTTGGACCCGCTTGGCTTTTTATTTCCTTACCTTAATTCATTGTGAAACAGTATTTAGGACTCATAGCTTTTGGGGTGTATTATTATTATATATTTAATATGTAAACTATGTAAATGCATTCTGCACTCTCTCTGCTAACCTCCATTTCTTCTAGACTGCATGTATGCATTCACGCATTGTCCATATATGAGAACACTTCAGGTAAAAGAAATCAAGCCCAGACAGACAGGAATCGCAGTAATAGGGGTCAGGGAAGAGAAATCAACCTTTTCAATCTTTCTTTCCTTCTGGCTGATTGAGAGATGTGATCTTTTCTCTCTCTCTCCGTCTCCACTGACACCCTTATTTAACAGCCGCCTCTCCAGTCCTGCCAGGGTTCCGCAAATGCTAACCACCATGGAATCACTCGCATATAGCGGAACGCGCCCGGCTCTATCCATATGCTAATGTGGAAATGCACCTGTCTGCACCCAGGCAGACATGTTTCTCCAGCAGCAGACCGGGCTCAGGGAGGAAGCAGCAGGCAGCCTCCAGCGAGCGTGCGTCTCTGCGGGGAATTCTGCGGAGTTCGATATGTAATGAAAAGCCTCGCCGGGCCACTGAGCGCTTGACCTTGGCCCCGGCCACCTCTGGGACAGACATGCTTACAGTACATATACGTCACCTCCACCCCAAATGAGCTTTTTATATCCTCCCCCAGAATGTGAGAATCTGGGTGGGTGAACAAGGGCAGGAGAGAGAGAGAGAGAGATGAAAGGGAGACTATGCATTCATTCTGACATTAACGATGATGATGAGAGCAGAGGGGTGGAACAGAGTACAGAGCTTGAAGCATTTTTTTGGAGCTGCAACACATGTCGACATACTGCATGCAGCATGAGCTGTGTATGTGTGTGCATGCCCTGGCCAAGACACACACACACACACACACAGACACAGAGATTTTGAGAGATGAGCGACGTGACAGTGGGAGAGAGATAAGAGAGAAGGGGCAGAGAGCAGGGGGAGGGGGAGGAGATGGAGAGAGAGGGGGGAGGTAGAGGGACTGCATTTGCCTGTGATGCTAAAAATAAAACCTGCAGAGCCACTTTAGAGTGTGCACTAGAGCA